AGTTGTATTCCATTATGCTTTATTAGCTGCTTTGGTAAAAAACAAATCAACAATACAAAAACAAAACAACACAAAACATTGCAAAACAACATCTGTCTGGATCGCATTCCAGCATTTTGTAGGCTGGTTTTCCTACAAAACACAACAAACATTAGCCCGCAAAGCCACAGTGAACAAAGCAGCTTAGCGCAACGAATTCAATTCAAATAAATATAAGACTTATTTGTAACCTACATGAACAATTATGTTATGATAAATTACGTAATAACTACAACAGAAGACTTACCTTTGTGGAAATGTTTGGAGCAGACTAACATGTGAGCTGGAGTTTTCTGGGACGTTATATTTGGTCTTCAAATGACTGCAATCCAGGCCATCCATCAGCTCTTTGTTACTTCGGAAACACGGCTTGAACAATTTCTCTTCCATGACGAAATCCGATAAAAAACTATCTCTTTACCCGTCGGCTTCCCGTGGCTGTCATGTGACCGGCTATTGCAGTTAATAGTACAACAGCTTCTTGCCGTTCTTTGTTTCTTTTTATCGCTGTGTGACTGTTTTCTTGTGAAAGCCTGCGTGCTCTAGTACTGCTTGCCACTCGTACCTACAATCCTTTGCGGTTTTACCCCGGAAATGACGTCACATTTTCGATCTCTATAAAGTATTAATGTGAGCGAGCACATGTAGTACATCCTAATGTAGCCATGTTTCTATTTTGACTGAATAGCTCCGTGAGCTTACAAAAGCATATCGACTCCGAGACTACTACATACTGAAAACTGTATTTTTCTGTTTGCCTCTGTGCCAGTGACATATCATTGGAAATGTGTGTCTTATCTGTGTAGCATGGAAACGTTTCTTGGAGCTGCGACCCATGTTCTGCAGGAATTCAGGACGTTGCTCCAACACGGTCCACACATGCTGGGAAGTACACACATGCTGCAGATCATCACCATTAATATGTTCGCCATACACAATGCCAACAGCAAAGGTAATATTGTGCTCAACCTAATGATAATGATGATGATAATGATAATCATCATTTTCAAATGTCAAGTTGTTTGTGGTAGTAACACTGGAGGTTTATTTGCAGCATTATCAGAAATGGCTGGTAAAAATAGTTTTCATGAAGCTTTTAACATGGACTTTATTTGCTGTAAAATTTGACTCAGTTTATTAATATGTTGGCATGTTTGAACACGATTAAGTTTAGTGACCACTGCAGACTGCTTCTAACTGATTTTAACATACTTTGATTCTAATCTTTTCAATTCAGGTCTTTTGTTATGCAACTGAGCATGGAGTTCTTTTCCAACTCAAATATGTGTAGACCCAAGCCGTGGTTTCACACAAGGCAGTGATAAACGACTGTTTGAAATTCTGTCTTTCAGGTGAAGAAGGAGAAGTGCGATCTGTTTTACAAGAGCAGAGCACTGCCCTGGGTCTCGGTATGTTTGCACTGCTGGTGCAGCGCTGCACAGAACTTCTTCAAGAAATTCCTGCAGGTATTGATGCTTTACACATCAAGCTTTTGATCAACAGCATTTCTTTCTTACAGTTCAGCCACAATATTCATATCATAAACTGTTCAAATAAATTAAAGAAGCAATTTTGAAAACGCATCAGATCACATTGTTTGATGGAAATGAAAATTGTCAACCTGCAGATAACTGAATTCAAAGACCCTAAAAATCAAGGTGAAAAAAATGATGTGCAGAAACTCAAATGGAATTCTGGTTCTCTCTGGGGGCCATAAAAACAGGTTTTTATGGCCCCCACATGCTTCTATAACTGCATGATGAGATGTTGGGAAATGCTCCTAATGAGAGTATGGATGGTCCTCTGGCGGATCTCCTTCTAGATCTGGAGCAGGGCATCACTGAGCTCTTAGACAGTCTGAGGTGCAGCCTGGGAGCATTGGACAGACTTAAACATGATGTCCTAGAGGTGTTCAATTGGATTTAGGGCAGCCAAGAATGAGGGGCCCCAGTCAGTGGTCTTAATTCCTTCATCCTCCAGGAACTGCCTGCATGCTCTCACCACATAAGGCCAGGCATTTTCATGCACCAGGAGGAACACAGGACCCACTGCACCAGTGTAAGGGCTGTCACATGTGCTCAGGGTGAACCTGTGAAAAGCACAGGGTGCCAGTGGTGGATCTGCCAATTTTGGTATTCTGTGGCAAATGCCAATTGAACGTCATAATGCCAGGCAGTGAGCACAGGGCCTACTAGATGAAATCAAGACCTCAGGCCACCCCCGTGAAGTCTGTCTCTGACCAGACAATCAGAAACTTTCACACTAGTGGTCTTCTTGAAGTAGTTTTGTAGCTCTGGTAGTGCTCATCTTGTTCCTCCTTGCACAAAAGAGCAGACACCGATCCTGCTGATGAGTTAAGGACCTTCCACAGCCCTGTCCAGCTCTCCTAGAGTAACAGCCTGTCTGCTTTCTTGAGACTGTGCTGGGAGACGAGGCAAACCTGGGAAGTCTGTGTAATGTAGTACCGTCTTGGAGGAGCTGGACTTAACTTTGCAACATCTGTAGGGTCCAGGCATTGCCACATGCATCCAGCAGTGACGCTGACCAGCTAAATGCAAAACTGATGTAAAGCAGTCAGAAAAGATGAGGAGGGAAACATGTCAGTCTCCACCTGTAAAACCATTCCTGTTTTTGGGACTTGTCTCATTGTTGCCACTTTAGTGCACCTGTTGTTAATTTCAAGACCACCAAAGCAGCTGAAACTGATTAACAACCCCCTCTCCTACTTAACTGACCAGATCAGTTACGTACTATAATATATCTGCTAATGCCTACTATAGAATTGGCAGGTAAAAGCATTCAAACATGTAGTCAGCCCTGTCTCCCTTCGTCTGTTACTTATCTTTAGACAAAAAACGAGTTTAGTTACGCTGATAAATGCTTTTGGAAAACTATAAATCCTAAGCTTTTCTTTAACCTTTTGTGAATAGTGTAGACTACAAAGTGAGATGTGGTTTGCTTTTGGTTGGACTTGGGTCGCACCATTACACTTGATTGAAGATGCATCTTCATTTTTACAGCTGTGATAACATTTTGTAAATTTTATGTTTGGACTTTTTTCCACTTCTGAAATTGCCCATAGTGTTAATTTCAATTGTTTTTATTTGTATGATATTGAAGACTTCAGTTCAAAAAACTCTCTTTCAGAACCAGTCCCAATGACAGATGGAGAGGAGGAGGGTAAAGCGGAGGAGATGGAGGGTCTTGTGAGAGTCTCTGCCTTCCCATTAGAACTAAGGGAAATGCTGCCAAGTATCAAAGTCTGGTCTGACTGGATGCTGGGACACCCAGACCAGTGGAACCCACCACCATGCAGTATAGAGTGAGAACTTTAACCTACAGTAAACTTTTGGGTTTTTTTCTCTACCTGGCAGCAGCAGAAACAAGTTGTAAACACATCACTTAGATGACCTAATAATACTTATTAACTTTCATACACCAGCAACAACAGAACATCGCCATCCAAGTCATGTTTCTGGCTACCAGGAAATATATTTAGTTTCTAAATTGTTGCCACTCTTTAAACAATATAGTTACTTTTCACAGTGTGATAATGACCAGGTAGTATACTATGCCTATTGCCACCACGGTATACTATACTTACAGTATACTTATTATTATTATTCCTCGCCCCCCCATTTGAACTTCAGCAGGTCATCTTCAGCATTTCTGCCCTATACAATGAGGTGCTGCCATGTTAGTGGCTGATTAAATATTTTCAAAAAAGTAGCCAGAAAATTCAGATTTTGTACCTGATGTACCTAATAAAGTGATCAGTGAGTGTGAGTTTTAGGACCACAAATAGTTACTGTTTCTTTAAATTTACTGTTTAATTTTTTAATTCATTTTTATTTTATCCCTTTCTCCTCCTTTCTTTAAAGTTGCAGCCCCAATGTCTGGCAGTGCCTGGCTGATCTGTGTAACTTGCTGGCACGTGTGGACCATGGCGAAGTACCCCTGTACAAAGTGGATAGTGAAGAAGGAGAGGGGGATGAGGAGCTTATGCTGCTTCAGTTGAAGGAAGACCGTCTGCTTGCTGGTTTTGTACCGTTGCTGGCTGCACCACAGGAGCCATGTTACACAGACGGACACACTGACATGGTTAGTGGAAAGGAGAGTTGTATTTCATTACATCATAACTTAAACGCTTAAGTTAAGTTCACTTATTGGATATTCCTCTGTTTAGTCTTCTGTCACCTACTGAGTGCCAGGCTTTGTATTCACGCTCATCATCTGCTTCTCTGTCATGCGCATAAACCCCAAACTTCTTTCCTCAGGCTATAGCAGCAGATTGTAAGAGAGTTACTGTGCTGAAGTACTTTTTGGAGGCTTTGTGTGGACAGGAAGAGCCTTTGTTGGCTTTCAAGGGAGGCAAATATATCTCTGTGGCAACTCCTCCTGCACCTAACCACTCAACAGATACAAGAAGCAGGCAGGATTCTCTAACAGAAAAAGAGGTGACTTTCTTCTCCTACGCATCCTCCAATAATCCTTCCACTTCTTCACTCTCTCCCTCTGGTCTTTTTCTTCTGAGAGCCTGATTGCCTTTCACGCTTTTACCTATATTAAATTTATGTAAACACTGGAGTTAAAATTTCCAGAGGCTGTTGAAACAAGAGGTAGAAAATGTCTCATTATCGTCTGCATCTGTTTAACAGGGAGATGATGTCATACTCGAGGCAGTGTCTTCTCTCTCTGCATCAGAGGAAGAGGAAGTTGAGGAGGCCGGAGACAGCGAGAATGACATCAGAGAGCTCAAGGCACGACGCCATGTCCTCGCCAATAAACTGGCACAGCAACAAAAGCGAAGGGATAAAATAAAGGTAAAACAGGCTTTCACGTCCTAATATAGTTGAGTCTGAAGTTGTCGCAGAGTTAAATGTCATGTAAAATATAAATGTGTGTGTTCCAGGAGGTGCTGCAGACGGGTGGGCAGTTGGAGCTTGAAGTGAGGCCTCTCTTTCTGGTTCCAGATACAAATGGATTTATTGATCATTTGACAGGGCTGAAGAAACTCCTTCAGTGTGGAACATACATAATAGTTGTGCCACTTATCGGTAAGAATAACAAACACAGACAAAGAGAAGAGGAAATGAATAAAAGCAGGTGGAGGAGGATTAGCTTTTAGTTCAGTGGCGTTTAAAATGATGAGGATCCCACATCCATCAGCGTTTCCATGTAGAAATCCTATGTATGCTCATGACATGGTCTGTTTTGTCTCTGTCAGTGATTACAGAGTTGGATGGCTTGGCTAAAGGCCAGGACAGTTTTGGTGGAGGAGTGGAGTCAGGAGGGCGCAACTATAGTGTCAGTGCGGCCCATGTGAGGGCTGTGCAGGAGAACGCTCGGATGGCGGTGGCTTTCTTAGAAAAAGGATTCGAAGCCAGAGAACAGTGCCTCAGAGCTTTAACAAGCAGAGGAAATCAACTTGAGTCTATTGCCTTCCGTAGCGAGGATATGTCTGGGCAACAGGTAGAAACCCAGATTAATTAAATACAAATTAAAGCCTGTTTCTTTTGCTTAGAAGCAAAGGTTGGCTTCTTAAATCTACTGTTTTTTGCCTACTGAATGGTCTCTTCCTTTTCAGGGTAACAATGATGATATTATTCTGTCCTGCTGTCTTCACTACTGCAAAGACAAGGCTAAAGATTTCATGCCTCATCAGAGAAGTATGTAGCATTAACCTACCATTTGCTCCATGTGTGCATTCATATTTCCTCACATTCATGCAGATGCATTAAAAAGTGTTTATTTCTTACTCCTCTCTGGCTTCCTGCTTCAAAAACAGATGGCACCGTGAGGCTCCAGAGAGAAGTGGTACTCCTCACAGATGACCGTAACCTCCGTGTCAAAGCTTTGACCCGTAACGTACCTGTGCGAGACATCCCTTCTTTCCTCAGCTGGGCCAAAGTGGGCTGAACCAGAGTAAGCCTAAACACAAGGAACCCAACTGCTGAAGCCTGCTTGTCAGTCAGCCAAGAGAGAAGACACACTTGAGCGGAGGAAGATAACAGGGGACAGGAAATGATAAAGAAAGTAAAGAACCACTTCTTATGAAAAACAAGCAAAATGTAGAGAGAGCAGAGTGGTTTCAATTAGCTTTCCCCCCTTGTGACAAAGTAAGTGTGTGTATGTGTGTGTTAAGATCAGAGAGCTTCCCCGGAGAGAGGCAGGAAAGACTTAAGTCTCAGAAAGGCTGGAGTGGAAAGGAGGAAGGAGGAAAAATGGAGTGAATTGATTTGTAGGTTGCCCTGTCCAGCCGCAAACCTCTGCTCCTATTTATTGTATGCTCTGCAAGCAGTGTTAAAATTTGAATCTGATGATAGAATGAGCCAGAATGGGGGAAGAGTGTCTATGGTCATTTAATTGATTAAAGACAGCATCACTGAAGGCCATAAATGGCACTTGTACCCCTCTCTGAGGGCCCAGGCTTAGATAAAGCTTCAGCCTCAACAGCAGAGCTAAGAGAATGGCAGGAGGAAATGGCCACAGCTGGGTGGTCTGTGTCAATACAGTTTTAAAAAAAAAAAAAAGCAGCTGATTGTAGATGGGGGGGGGGGTGTAATCAGGAGCCTTCATGCAAACTCAGCACTTCCACGGAATCCCATGCAGATATGGCATTTCCTGCTAACCCAGGAAATGCTTGATGCCTGTTTGGTATCTTGGGTTATTCCTCCAGATTGACACTAACAGTTTTTGTTTGTTTTTTTTTGTAAAGTCAACAGCAACATCGGATATGGTTTAGTTTTCTGTTTGTACTTTTGTCTTTTTTTTTTTTTTTTACCTGTTGTAAAATATGTTGTTCTTAAAAGCTGTTAGCTCTGATAATAAACATCTGCAAAGTTTTCCTAAAAAGATCTGCTAATTAAGCAAATCCAGTTTTAATTTAAGTCAGGGTGAAAATAGAGTTATAAGTACTCCGAGAGCATCATTTTATTGATCAAACATCAGCACCGACTCGAGCCGTTGAAGACAAATTAGACGCTATTCTGAAATGCACATAAATCTGTGTGATGGAATTTGTGCTCATACAAATATAATGGGAAGGGCTTTGATAATGATGTCTTTGTTTCCCTGGCACAAAAGGGGAGTAAATAAAAACTCAGACATCAGAAACCATCACCCTTTTTGTCAAATTGTCATTTTGTTGCTTTGAAGGGTGAATTTGTTTGCTTTGTGTTAGGTTTTTAGTTCTAGAAAATAGGATTTCATTTAAGTGGCATTTGGCCCATATATGGCTTTAAACAATATGAAACGCAGGGTTACAAACGCTCGCTGACCCGGCCCATCGTGTGTCATGCTCTGATCCTTTGCAAAGACTTTGCAGAATTTTTATTATCAAGTATAGACTTGTGAATTTATTTGTGCTGTTTTGTTTAAACCACCGCAGCAGGTTACGATTTCAGTAGCTTTCCTCTCATTACATTATTTGTATAGTTAGTGTTCTTATTTTCAGTGTGACTTTGCCTTTCAGTTTACAAGCATGCTTTTCTAGTAGCTGAAATACATAAACATAGGTTTCAAAATTACCGTGAAAATCAGGCAGCAGACATTTAACAAAACAAACAAACAAAAAAAAAACAGTGTTGTGATTTTTTTTGTTGTAGCTTTAAAAGACAGTCTGGATGCTTTAGATTTGTATTTGTGTCACAATATATGTCAGAAACTACACTTATTCATCATTCACTCATCCCAGTTCAGATCTTTGGATTTAAAATGTTATTGAACTTCTTTCCGTCTTCCATCGCTCATTGACGTTTATGTATTTGTATGAGCTGTCTGCTAGGTTTACTCGTCTTTTTCAGACCCTCTGTTTTGGTGCTGCTGTAGTATTAAGTGCAGCCTGTTGTGTTAAGTGGGCACTGCTGTTGTGTTTTAGTGTTGGAGCAAATGTAGTGCTGTAAGCAGCTTAACTCAAATGACTTTTCCCTTCATCTGTCATTAAAAATGTTTTAAAGGCTTTGTTTTCACCTCATTGGCGTGCAGATGAAGAATGCCAGGATGTAGAATATGTTTTTCTTGGCCTGTAATGAACAGACAAGGTAACATCCTCCTAGCAATGACTAACAGTGCCTTCATTGTTGGAGTCTGCCAAGTATGTGTACAATGCCAGGACCCTGAAACTGAACAAACTAAATGCAGATCATTGATTTTCTTCTTCATACATGAGATTCGAAGAATGTCTGTATTTAGGGGTCTTTGTCCTCATTTAAAGCCGGCTATGGAATACCAAAAGCTTCACATGTGTGCCCTCGTGTGGTAGCTGAAGATTACACAGGTGGGAGTGATGGAACAACAGCCGTTATGTATATAAGACCTGTGGGTGTCTTGATAAATGTTTGCTTTAAAAAAAAAAAAAATTGGCAAACTGATGAGCCAGGTAAATCAGTTATTATAAACAACATAAATTGGAAATCTCTAGGAGGGGAAAAAAGATGTAATGTCCATAATCCTTAGACACCCCCAGAAGACAGTCTACATAGTTATAGACTTAATGTGGTATAACTTTAAATTTGTGGTGTAAATGGAAATTCAGCTACTGCACTTTTAAGTAGCAACGGTGTAAAAATGAGTGCGGGGGGGTGCTTCCTGGTAGTCACTGCCAAATGACCACAAGCATCTGTTTGTGCATGTATCTCTGGGAAACATGAGGGCAGATGCTTCTTCAGTGCATCTCTACACAAGAACAAACATCTCAAATATGTTCAATTCTACTTTGAACAAACCCAACTGCGTCATTACACTCTGAGTGGTGGGTGAAGAGGGGGGTGATAGATAGATAGATAGATAGATAGATAGATAGATTTATCTGCGCATCATGGGCTGCGAGTTCTGCAGCCTACCCATCTGTATCAGTGTACTTCTGCGCCTGGATACAGACCACACAGGCAGGACCTGATTCCCATCATCATGACAACAGGGATGCCAAGCAACCAATCATAGCCCTTCGAGTTCTGCTCTGGAAGCTGATTGGCTTCTCAGCCTGCAGCCTGTTGTGGAATGTCCATCTTTAACCTCTCTGCTGCCAAGCTCAGCGCATATACATCCTATAACGCAGTACGGAGTACTGCTGCATGTGTGAGCTTCCTCTGAATTATTGGTAAAGCTTTGTATACGCCACAGCTGGAACATCTGAATGACATCCATTTGTTTTTTGGCAGCGTAAACAAAAACCCACGCGTGTGCTGCTCCCCTGATGTAAACACAGCATGACTGATCATCTGTCATCTGCACGAACCTGCTTCGTATTTTATTCCAGGTCGACCCGGAGTATTCCGTAAATCTCACAGATCACAAACTGGGGAGGAGGGGAATCTTGTAGTTACACAATAATGTCATTATAATAGACTATGCACAATTTCTCCATAGCTGTATGCTAGAATTAAGTCCTCGTAAATAAACTCTACTCTTTCCATTTTTCCACGGACGTGGTCTGTTGTCCACAGACAAACAAATGTTAAACAATTGCTATATATATAGCTACACAGCTATACAGCTCAGTGTCAGAAAGTGCATAAGGCCGAACAAATCGCGGGGAAGGGAATGTTGACAGTCATTATGTGTATTACTTTCTCCATCCACACACACCTCTGTGTTTGGAGTTGTTGGATGGCATAGCAAACTGTGGGGAGGGAGAGAGGGGGCAACATTTAGCCCGCGGGGTGCAGCAGGACAACCTCGACGAGTCCCCCACCCCCCCACCTCCAAAACTGTCACACGTGTACTCTCGCTTCAGTTAAAGCTGGCTCCTGAGCCGCTCCGACTCCTGTTTGTTTCATTAGCTCCTCGGTTCCTTCACGGTGGAAGGGAGGTGATTCTCTCCGCCGCCATTTTTGGGGAACTGCTTATTCGTAAAGAAACTTTGCTAGCTGCTTCCTAACGTTAGCAGCTAGCTGGTTGGCCAGTACCCTGCCTGCCTTCCCTGCAGCTCGTTGTGACAGTTTAAGCTTGGCAGTCAGTCGTTATCCAGCTCAGCTCTTTGCTTCGCTTTCATATAAATATTTATTATTTTACTTGCTGACGAAAATCGGTTATTGCTAAGGAGAATAATCGGGCTGGGCAGAATGACCGTCTGTATTTGGGTAGGGCAATTATGCGGTTAGATTAGCGAATTAGCATTGCTAACTTATCGGCTAGCGAATTCCGCACTCTGATTTGCCCGGATTGCTTTGCCTGCCCGTGATTTAGCCACAGACACCTTGCCCTGCTCTGTTTCCGAGTAACCGGATTAAGCAGCCGTTCATACCCCCACTTCATCTCAACCTGTTTGGATTCATTTTTCTTTTCTTGACAAGGTGAGTTGATAACCAACTTTAGCGTTCTGCTAACGTTTACTCTGTGTGTGTTGATTTGTTCTCCCAACGCTATATACTGCAACGGAGCTTAATTTCAATATATCTTAGCATACGAGTTAGCCAGCCAAATAGGATGCTATTTTCCAGCTAACCAAAAGTTGCTGTCACAACTTCTACAGTGTGTCACATCAACAGATTTTTTTTAGTCCGCTTATTGGGCAAGTTGAGTTACCCATTGTTAGTATGAAGACAGTATGTTTTTAATGGCGACGTGACATGTCTCTAATTGATCCAAATGTACAAGGGGAAATGCTGGGGAGCTAAATCGAGAGTTGTTATCATGGTAGTAAAAGGATGGGCACAGATTGCTTTACCTAAGCAGCGTTAGCTAGCTGCTTTAGCATGCTAATCCGCTTTATGCAACTATGGTTGAAAGCAGTGCCACTCCCTCGTTTTGTTTTTGTCCACTGTGGCTGTACGGCAACACTGAGTGAAACTCGCCTCTGAGGAGAGGAGGGTGTCTGCTTGGCAAGTTTGTTTACCTCTAAGGGACATCGTACTGTCTGAAAAGCTATGCAGTGTGGCGGTAGGTGACATTGGTCCAGGCTCATCCTATGTATGTCGCACGTAAGTTGCTTTCAGTGGCTTTGTGTTTACAAGCGGCGTTGGCCAGCAGAGTCTGACAAATCATCGTTGCCGTGTGCGAGAACGGGTAGCGCTCACGTCGGTCGGCGGCTGGTGTTTTTTTTTTTGTTTTTTTTTAGTGCATTGACGTGAATCGCATTCTTCAGTTTTCAGTGTTGATATTGCGTAACAGTGAATATTACTCGGCAAGCTTCCCTTCTGCCTGGCTTATCTGCGTCTTTGTCGCCTAACTTATGCATTGCACAGAGGACCAGCCGCACACGGAGGCAACACGGCACTGAATGTGGTTCAGTAACGCCAGAGTTGTGGCACCAAGTTCATCATGCATCCAAGGCGTTGCGCTTCGTTTGGGGTGATTTCTCAAATGTCCCAGGCTTGGTGGCTGACATGCCTTCTCTAGATGTTTGTGTGCAATGTAGCAGGACTTTCTCTGCTACTCACTGATCACCAATTTTTCTGGCAGGCTGCCTGTCTGTCTGCTTTCCAGGTTCATTATAACTTGGTCTCATCTGATCACCTGCCAGTTGTTCATTTACATGTCTGCATGACTGTCAGAACAACAGTGCGTTCACACTGTCAAGCTACAAACCACTGAGTGGTGCACAGTGTCTTGATTGCTGGAGAAGCCCTTAAAAAGTTGTTTTCTTGCCTGCCAGTGTTCTATCAGGGTGATGTTGAATATGAGCAAACTGCATAATGGATTTAAGCACCCTCAGGAAAACTGGATTAGACACCAGAGCAAAGCCTGCAGTGGTTGCTCAAGTTGAGATCAAAGGCAGCCAGTAGTAGTCTTGCCTTATTGTAGTGAATAATATATAATACGCTTTCACATGTAATACCATGAACCTTACTTAGCTTATTGATTGTACAGTGCCTTATTATTGTATTTAATCTTTTTTTAGCTGGTATAAGTGAGGGCTACTCACATGATAGTGATCCTCAGGTTCCGTTTGTGTTGTTCAACATTCAGTAGTATGGTAGAGAGGGGAAAAATGATATGATCGTGGAGATGCTGGAGATGTAAACCGTAGCACCTATACCTTTTTAAAATATATATATTACATCTGTGTGCATCATGGGTGTGTTTTAAAAATCTTTTGACATCAGCGGTGGTCAGTGACACAGATAATAAGACTCATCTTTTAATGAGATTTTTTTTCCCACAATAAGGAGAAATAAGGGGAGACGTCTGCAATTGAAGGTGGTTGCTTAACACTTGGAGACCAACAACATATTTGATGAGTCAGAGTGAGAGCAAGAAGTCGGGGGTAGGGAGGCACATTTATTTTATTGTTTTCAGGTGATCAACTGAGGATACAAACTTTAAAATGAGACAAAAATGTCTCAAGATTGACATTGTGCATCCTAATCAATCATAATCTTTAAGTTCACTCTCAGATTTTGCTAATTATTTTGATTACAATTAACTGAAGGTTTAAAGAGTCTATTTGACCATATTTTAAGTAAGGGATGTGAATGAAGAAGTAGTTTGTATAAGGAAATGGTGCCAAATTGTGTAATCTATGGAAGTGTATGCCTTAAAGCTTATCAGCTCTTCATATTAGGGCTAGCATGTTTTTCTGACAGTTGTGCAATGCACTGCAATGACATTAAACTTCTAGCAGTTGAGCTTTTGTACACCTTTTGAGTCACACGCAAGCCCATTTTTCCTGTTCTGGTTGCTTTTTCAGACTCCAAAATTCACCTGTTCTGTTGTTGATAACCCATTGAGATCTGCTTTTATTTCAGCACAGTAAATGGATCAGGAATCAGATGAATTTAAGATGTGACCTGTAGATTAGGTAGTAATCTAATGTTATCAGAACTCATGCATATTCTCAAATCCAAAATGTCCTTAGACCAAGCAGCCCATCCGTTTTGACGAACCACATCCACTGAGACGTATAAGCATTTTGGTGCGTGGATGCCCGTATTTGCTTTTAAAGGGGCCATTTTAAATGCATTTGTTTTCCCTTCTCTTGTTCAGAGTAACTGTGGCATGTCGTTGACGCTCCTGACACTTGTCGCAACTGGAGGGGTGTAAATAGAGCTTTGTGATAGAAACTGGATGGTTCAGTCTTCTTAGCGTTTGGTCAGTGCGTCTCTCCTCTCCATCACCAGCTTTGCGATGGCACGAGAAATTGAGATGTGTTGTTGACATTAGGTAGCTTAGCTAGAGAGCGTTCACTTCTTCCACTCAGTGCAAGCCACAATCTGTAATCGGTCTGGGAGGCAGGAGCTTGGACACCCCACCCTCCATCCCAGAGGGATACAAATGTTGTGTGTAAGCCATTTTAATAACATCACATGCAGTTCATTAAATTAACATTTTCTCTGAACAAACAGTTATATGATGTTGCAGTGCTGTTGTTATTGTTTTTCTTCTTAATGGGGCGGCTGAGTAATTAACAAAGCATAAACTCAGTTTATTGACTGGTTCAAGCACAGATGAGTTACACATGACAGGTTTAATTTTTCATTTTTAAAATTAGTACCTCACTGGGCCTGACTGGGGTCGTTTATGAGCTGTAACTACAATCATGCTTCTCTTTTGGGCTTGAGAAGATTTTAATTATTGTGTGTTAATTAAGCGTGTGTTTTGAGAATGTTCTAAGAAATGAATAAGGAGTAGTTCACTAGGACCAGTTACATCAGGCTGATACATGATCACATCATGAGATGTATCAACTAAGTGCATTCCTATTTTGAATTATTTAACAGTACAGCATAAAGCATCTTCTAGGCACCATTTGTATGAATATGTGTGTGTATATATAACAAACATAACGAAACTATTAAATTCCCGCAGTTCTGTTGAGGGGGGGAAGCATATCCATAGGTGATCATAGGTATTCTGGTTAATAACTCCAGTCAAGTACAGTAGGCAGTGAGGGGGTGTGATCGCCCAAAAATAACTAAACACAAGCATGTGGGTGTAACATGGATGTGTTGCGGAACTAAGGAAGAGTAATCGCTCCAACAGTATGTTTAATGTGGTGGCTGGCAGAACATGTGGAGCAATGTTAACCTTCATACTTAATCTGGTATTACATTTTGTATTAAAAGCCATTATTGGTATAATTGCAGCTTGCCAAATAAGACTATGAATCATCCACTTTCAAGAATAAAAAAGGTTAATTGGAGTCTAATTAATAACAGTAATTAAAATGTGTTATGTTGTAGTAATGGATGTTTTAGGATGGGTTTCAATTGGCTTTTATTAAAATTCTTTGGAACATCCTGTACATATTTTTCTCTGCTGTTGGTGAGCCGTCCACCACAGCATTGCTCCTCTGTAGCTAATCCTGTGGAGCTGAGAGAAATTCACTATGGAATCAATAACTTATTTGATTATTTATTATCCTTCTCCATTTCTCTCTCGCTCTCTGTCTCTCCCCCCGCTTCTCAATCACACCCATTGCTACTTAGGTTTGTGTATTGCTTGCGTCTTCATTAGGCATCATGGTGATTTTTACAGTGCAGAAGAAATCAATTCGCATAACTCTTCAAGAGAGAATCAATTTTCTCAAGCAGTAAAGCAGAACAGTGTCCAGCACTTCTCCTCTTAATAATCGCATGTGCTTACACACATCTAGCAATGCAGCTCAGATTTTTCCAGATTTAGTCATGTGACAGCGTTCAGTGCTTGATTCGCTCTTCTCTGTAGTGTTATTTAAATTAGAATTAATCTTTGCTCCTTTTGTTTCTGTATTTCCCCTATAATGCTAAAATATATACATATATAGGCTCCTGCCTACGATAGCCGTAATGCTCCGACAATCCATCAAGCAGTGCGGGTTCGTAGCTTAGCAAAGTCGTACTAAAACATTTGACAGATTTTCGAGCGCCGTGCACGACATAAAATCGTTTCAAGGTCAGTAAACACAGCCAGAATTCATACATAAGGCACACGGGATTATAAGGGGCACTGTCGATTTTCAGAAAAATCAAAGGATTGATTTTAAGTGTGCCATATTTTCCAAAAAACACGGTAATAATGACGGCCCGCTAGCATGCGCTACCAAAAATAGTGCTTTGTTGTGTATCTGACAGACAAAAGCTAAACCAGTTCCACACCACTGAAGTTGCAGCATTTTTACAAACCAATTCTGGTTCATCAGTTTCATTCAACGATCCGCTTTCGTCATTGTCATTCTCCGTCGCCGCCATGCTTTTTCCGCCATGTGCGTATGAAAACAAAGGCACTGCGCATGTGCGTTTCACCCATATTCTAGTGTTTAATATATTTATTATTTTCCACAATGAAATACAAAAATACAAAGCAGGTTTACCCATATTCTATCGCGATATTTCATTTTCTTATCTTTGCCCAACATTATATCGGTATTACCGTG